ACTTCTTCAGATGCATAGAGTAAAAGTCTATGCATCTGAAGAAGTGAGGTTTTCACCCACGAAAGCTTATGCCCAAATAAATCTGTTAGTCTTTAAGGTGCCACCAGACTCCTTGTTGTTTTTGTAGATACAGACTAACACGGCTACCCCCTGATAATTTACTGTCTTGTCACCTCTCTGTGCTGCTGTAATTACATCCATATATAGGCTATCCCAAACTGTACAGGATGAAGCTATAAAGTTGTCTGCGGATTCACCTAACCTACAAATGCACTCTGTCCTTCAGATAAAAGCTCCATAAATGTGGAGAATTGGAGACATTTGGCTGCAGCACCTGAAACTGTTTGTCAGTATTTAGGGCTGGATTCCAGTGGGCCCTGTACAAGTATCTAGGGGAGGGCCCGAAGTGCATTCTCCTCCCCACGCCGCTGAGCCTGGACACACCCTCTCTGGGGAGCAGAGGAATTGCACCCAGCTGGGGCAGCTCCAAAGAGATGGGATGAAGACAGGACCATGCCAGCATCCGCAACGTGCAGAGAAGAGTGCACCCTGCATGCTTGCAAGAGATGGCAGAGCTGCTGATTCAACGCAGGCCTCCCCACAGCAAGCTGGGAAGGATTCTGGCACAACAAAGAGCCAAGTGTTAAAACTGCACAACCCTTAAAATGTGAGCTGTGATGTCATCTGTGATGAGACCATCCACTTTACAGTTTGTAGGACTGTCTTTTGTAAACACAGGGAGTAACGTATTGTTGCAGTGTGTGATGAACTGTCGGAAGACAGGATACCGACGAGATGGACCATTGGTCAGACCCAGTATGGCTGTTCTTATGTCTTAGGACCTACAAAATATAGGTACTAAGGTGACTGGCACTATGCGAAATACAACAGCTAGATACAGCTTTTGAATGTAAGGACACTCTACCAGTTATACATGTATCCTCGTTCCATGTGTACAACTCCTGCAAATGCGTCATTAGCAGAAATAGCTCAAGCTGTTTAGGCATCTGAGAATATTAACACGGACAGTGAGAACATGAACATTATCCCCCGGGGCGTGTGCCCCGAAGCTCTCACAACGTTAAGGACAGTGTCAGGGCAACTCTGATCTAGAGTCTGCCTCTGCCAGCCAGCTCTGCTGCGAACACTGCTCCCGGGCTTACTGTAGTTCACACATTCTCCCCCTGGAAACCTGCCACCCTACGGAGCTCATCTCTGAGAGAGATGAACTTCGTTATTTAAAATTACCTTGTTGATCATTTCTAAAGCACCAAAAATCAGAAAAATATCATGCGATAAAGATGCCATTTAACTCCATTTACAGCTAATCCCGCCTAGCGCTTCAGTGTGAATGGCAATAGGAGGATTAGCCACTGTGAGTAGCAGAAGCTTCTTTTTCTGCAGCTCAGTTTAAAGGGTTATGGTCAATTTAAAAAAAAAATCACTTTGATGGAGAATGTTCTGAGTAACAGCCAAGATTACTAGAACGGAAGGAGATTTCAGACATCTTTTCCAGTTTGGTCACTGTGCATGACAGCACTTTGTGTTTAGTCAGTATTGCCGCTGCTCCTGGATGGTCAGTTTCCTTTTATTGTTTGTGTAGGTCTTTCACACAGCAACTAGGGGGAAGAGCATTTAAAAAAACCAGCAAAATGAGGTTGCACAACCAAGCAAATGGGCAATGGGACCCAGGGGGAGGGGAAGTATCTGAAATTGCTTTGAACTTGCTTTCTGAAACTGCCTAGATTTCAAACTGATGATGTAGAACGGAGCAGAAATGGGTGTAGCAGGCAAAGACTGGAATACAAATGCCCTTATTTGGCTATGTTTAGCCCCATTTCTGTCTCTCTCTCAACATCATCCAGTTTACAGAACAGGCCTGCTGTTCAACATTTCAAGCCCCAATGTTACGAGGGATTTAAAAAAACATACTAATATTATTTTGAAATCAAACAAACTTTTCCAGAGAAATCAGAGTAGCAGTTGTATTGATACAGTATGGTGGGTGGGTTTTTGTGGTTGTTGTTCTTGTTGTTTTGCTAGTATTTGTCCTTTGTTAATCAGTTTCCTTTGCTGGGTTTGCATTGAACTGTTCTCTGGGTTATGAATCTCAGACTCTCCTTCCTAGGAGCTTATCACACTCTTGCAGGCAAAGTATGAAAATGACAATTTAAGATATCATATAATGGAGCTAATCTTTCTTCTGAAGATAAGATTTTAAAACCTGGAGTCACTGCACATTTATAAGATGGTGAATTAAATATATGTAAAAAGTACCTAATACATTCTAGGAAGCATAGTGTTCTTACAAGTTTGGTTTTCTTATATGTACAGCTTTGTGCATCTTGTCTGTTTCTCCCATGTTTCGGAGTTATTTGCTAGCACCTAATTGAGTGTCGCTGTTTCCATATTGTCTGTTTCAAAGCTGCCTCAGCTTGTCCATTTGTAAACAAGCAGGCAGAAAACTCAAAACAGAAGTAATGAGCTGTGCATTTCCTCCTCTTTCTGTAGCCTGGTGTTATTACTTATTGTCGGCGGAGGGTGGGTACAGGATAATAGGAGACTGGCATTTAGAACCTGTTGATTTTTTTCAAGCAACTGAAAATTCTCTAAACAGCCCAAGCCCAGAGCTCTCCTGCGTCTCAGAAAAGCATTTTCTTTCCTCAGATGCACAGGAATCTGTAGGGCCAGACCCATCGCTCCAATGGTATCATGGGGGTGCTTTGCATTTTGCCAGAATAAAACAATTTTGGGAATACTGTAAAGAGTTACAGCCATTTTTAGTGCAGAACCCACTGGTGGCAGTTCTGACCCAGCGTAGCCTTGCTGTGACTCTCACAGGCTTCCGAAGAAAGACGAGAGCACTCTGCCCTCGGTACGGAAGCAGGTGCAGAGGGATGGCTGCTTGAGGCGTTATAAAAGAAGCTACAGTGGCACTGGCAGAAGCATTGAAATTAGACAAACTTCTCGCACCACCATCAAATTATCCCCAGCTCCCATTTCATGGCTGGTGAACAAACACAACACAACTCAAAAATGCTGATAGCTGGTTAATGGAAACTCTGGAATAGCCAGACACCAAATATGTCCCTCGGGTTGCAATGTCAGGATCCTCCCTTGTGTGTGAGGCTCCTAAGCTTTGCCAGCTTCCAAACAAGCTCATGAACGCCACAAGAGCTGAGATTCAGCCCTGAAGGCCAGTGGGGCAACACTTCTCACGGCTATTAGCATTGAGATCACAAGTCAATAGACCTTTAACTAACACACTGCTGGATGTCTAGGGCTGTGCTGAGCAATCGTACTGCTGGAAAAGGAGCATGGAGCAGAAAGCTGGCCACTGCACTGGGCTCTGCTCCTGGCTGACCCACCTTGCGCAAATCTGATTTTTAGACGTGCTTGTCACCTGTAAGTCCTATTGACCCTCACTCAACACCTCTGAAAACTCAGCACCTTAGTAGCCCCAGCTGTACAGCGGGGACAGCATGGTTTTCGTACCTTAGCACCTGCATAGCTCTTTTCAACTGTATCAAATCAGCGTGCAAAGTATTATTGCACCCTAGGGCAGGTAAAAGCATCTCTGTTTTGGGAGGTGATCGCTATGTGAAAACGGAGGGGGGAAGGTAACAGATCAGCCACCAAAGAGATTCCCAGCTGTGCCCCAGAATGGTGCTAGAACTGCAATGATGAAGATAACCAGCAGAGTTAAGTGTCTAATGAGCATGCTGAAGAATACATGAGAAACCTTGAGTTACTCACTTTCTGAAAGAAACAAATTTTCATCAGAAAACATGGTGAATCAGTCAAAATAACTGGGATTCTTACCAACATTGGCCAAACTCAGGTGAAGTCGGCCTTTCACAACAGCGTAGACGCCTATGGGCTTCACAGTGCCATGTCTGAGAACGTCCCCACTCATCACTGTTGTGTCCTGCTCGTATTCAGTTGTCATCACCTCCAGCTCATGATGGACCTGAACTGCTCTCCGACCCTGGCGAAGCAAGTGCTGTGGGGCAAGAGGAACATATCCTGAAGCCAAAAAACATGTGTAGCTGTTACTGTCAGGAGGCACTGTCCAGAGTGGTACATGCCCAAGAGAGACCGATTGGTTTTATCTTGCAAATGGTTTGTTACATCTATGCAATTCTTTGGGGGAGTTGAGAAAGGGGGTTCCAGACCCCCTTTATCCAAAGCCGGCAGCCCCAGTGCTCAAGAGCAGTGTCTCAGTGAGCCGGCGTGTGCACGTGACACAGGAGAGATGGGGAAGGGGATAGGTTTCATTTCTGATCTCCCATCAAACAGTGAGATAAAAGGATATCTGGTAAATGATGAAAATTCTCATGACTGCCTCCCCCTCCTCAAATCAGATCTCACCTTTTCCTGGCTTATGCAAGAGCCCCCTGACAGTCTTTCCTGGGTTCCTGCACGTGTTACCCTTTGCTCTTGTAGATCACGCTGAGCTCCCGGGTTGCAAACATTAACCACACTTAAAAACGTTTTGCTTTTACTACTTTTGTTTTGGTTTTAGGTTCCAAGAAACTCTTGTTTCACTTTTCCCCTCACTTGACTAGCACATCCTTGCTGTGAAGTGTAATGCGCTCCCACAATACAGTGGGTACTACACCACACCAGTTAAAAGCACCTTTTTAGCTTGTGTACATTTGTGACATCTTTGGGGTTTTGTGAGGCTCAAAAGAGCTTTTCTGGGAGGTTACTGTTTTGAGATGAGACAAATCAGCTGGGAGAAAGAACTTAAGAGAAAAATGTGAATGGTAATTGGGAACTGTTTGAGAACAGAGGCCCAAAAATCATGGCCCGGCCAGGACTGAGGTCACGCCGGTGTGGCCAGCTGCAGGGGTTAACGGTTAAAGTCTGGTTAACGGTAAGCCTAAACCAGTTAAACTTTTACATCCCTAGTGCCAGTATTTAAAAAGGTAAACAAAATGACCCAGGTAATTATAGGTCTGTCACCTTGACATCAATCCTAGGCGAAATAATGGCTGATACAGGACTCAATAAGATATTAAAGGAGGGTAATATAAATAATGCCAATCAAAATGGTTTTATGGAAAACACATCTTGTTAACTAACTGGATATCTTTTTTCTATGAGATTACCAGTTTGACTGATAAAGATAACAGTGTTGATGTTAGCCTTGGTACTACACAACATTTTGATTAAGAAACTAAAATGATACAAGATCAGCATGACACATATTAAAAACTGGCTAGCTGATAGATCTCAAAACGTAATTGTAACTGGGGAATCATCATCAAGAATGTGTTTCTAGTCGGGTCCCTCAAGGATCAGTTTTTGGCCCTTGGTATTTAACATTTATATCAATGGCTTGAAATAAAACAAAATCCTCACTAATAAAGTTTGCAGATGATACAAAGATTGGGACAGTGGTAAACCATAAAGGGGACAGATCAATGATCTGGATTGCTTAGTAAGCGGGGCACAAGTAAACAATCTGCATTTCAGTGTGGCCAAATGCAAAGTCAGATATCTTGGAACAAAGAACATAGGCCATATTTATAGAATGGGAGGACTCTATCTGGGAAGCAGGGATACTGAAAAGTACTTGAGGTCACAATGGATCATCAGCTGAACATGAGCTAACAATAGGACATTGTGGCTAATGCAGTGTTTGGATGTATAAACAGGATAATATCGAGTAGGAGTAGCAAAGTTATAGTATCTCTATATTTGGCATTGGTGTGACCAATACTGGAATATTGTGTCCAGTTCTGATGTGCACAATTCAAGAAAGATGTTGAAAAGTTGGAGAGGGTTCACAAAACAGTCATGAGAATGACAAAGAATCGGAAAACATGCTTTATAGTGGAAGACTCAAAGAGCTGAATCTATTTAGCTTGTCAAAAAGAAGGGTAAGGGGAGAGTTGATCACAGTGTATGTCTAGATGAGGTACAAAAATGTGATAATAGAGAGCTCTTCAATCTAGCAGAAAAGGCGCAACACTTTCCAATGCCTAGAAGTTGAAGCTAGATGAATTCAGACTCTAAATAAGGTGCATTCTTTTCACAGTGAGGGTAATTAATCATTGGAACAACTTACCCTGGGTTGCGGTAGATTCTCCAGCAATGGAAATCTTTAAATCGAGATTGGCTGTGTTTCTATAAGATGTGCTCTAGTTCAGATAGGATTTAATTCAGGGCAGGTCTCTGGCCAGTGCTATCCAGGAGGTCAGACTAGATGGTCACAATGGTCCCGTCTGGCCTGAGAATCTCTGACTCAGGCAAGAATCAGAGAAACTTCCATAGGAGACGTAAATTGCTGTACAATTAAAGCTGATAATGAAACCCCCCATTCCCACCACACACACAAGGGAGTCATATTTTCTGGACATAGCACAACTGTTGCCTACTTAACATAGTGTAATTGTACAAAGAAGCTCTAGAAATGGAGACGATTGTTCTGGCCATTTGGACAGAAGGCCATTAGCACTGGTCACTGCATTCAGGAGCGAGGGGAGGGAAGTGGATGCTTTAGGCGATTCAGAGCAGGATACGAACCTTTCACCGCTAGGTCACTGTGCTGAATCCAGACAGCTTAGCAGTGAATAGAAATTCCCACTCCCCCGGGGCTGTTTGGTGGCCTGTTTGCAGGGAATTAGGGGGTCTCACACCATTTCCTGGGGAACAAGTGTCTACACCACAAACCATCTCCTGCCATTTGGCACTGGTTTCCCCCTTCGTTGGCAACCTCAGTGGAGAAGCAGAGGAGTCAAGGGGCACAGAGACTGGCCCAACCTTGCAGTGCAGGTGGTGGTTCTCCAGAACAAGAATGCGGCACCCTGGCGGGGCCAAAGTCACATGTGCTGCTGCTGCCCAGAGTGAGCCTGTCCAGTGAATCAGCGGGGAATGTTCATGCTCTAGTTCTGCCCCCGCAGGGCCTCCAGGAGCACAAGGAACCTCACAGCACCACCCCTTTTTTCTAAACATTTTACACACTATGACAAATTGTTCAAATTTTAACACCAAAGAAATCCATGCACATTTGTAAGAAACTTCCTGAACTTACCCTATCCAGTAGCCATTCCTGCCAGCTACAGCATCGTTACTATTTTAATATTTATTTGTAGAGCAACAGAGCCTAGGGCTCTTCCACATTGTGCATGGTGCTGTACAAACACAACCAAAGAAGGTTCCTTCGCCAGAGTTCTTGTACTTTGTAAGTAGAGATTCTGGCCTTTTTCTCCATTATCAGCAGCTATGGATTTAGTCTGGGAAAAGTTTCATACCTTCAGCTTAACTGCAGCAGATCCAATGAGGAGCAAAGAATCTCCATCCCAAATATCAATCTGTAGGTTATGGTCAGCTATATAACGTATAAACCAGCGTTGTTCTCCTGGCTTCAGAAAACCAGGATCCACCATATACTTCAGCTGCAACCCTGGAGATTCTGCAGGAAAAAGAATGTATTCCTGACAACGTAAGTTAATCCTCCATGGCTTCTCAGGAGACTCATTGCTATCAAAGGGACTCCTGTGACTCCCAGTACCACTGTCTCTGAGAACCTCACAATCTTTACTGTATTTATCCCCACTACACCCTTGTGAGGCAGGGCAGGACCAGGGCCGGCTCCAGGCACCAGCATTCCAAGCAGGTGCTTGGGGCGGCAATCTGAAAGGGGCGGCAGTCCGTGTGTTTTTGCCGCCCCAAGCAGTGCGCCGAATTGCCGCCGCAGACAGCGGGTGCTGTCCGTGTGCCGTTAGGGTGGCACGCGCGTTTCCGCGGCGGCAATTTGGCGGCTTCTGTCTTCCGGCTGAAGACAGAAGCTGCCGCTGAATTGTCACCGCCGCGGAAACGCGCATGCCGCCCTAACGGCACACAGACTGCCCCCGCCGTCCGCGGCAGCAATTCGGCGCACTGCTTGGGGCGGCGAAAACAATAGAGCCGGCCCTGGGCAGGACATCCCCATTTTATCGATGGGGAGCTGAGGCACAGAGTGACTGTGCCCAAGGTCACATAGGAAGTCCATGGCAGAGCAGGAATTGAACCTACGTCTGCCAAGTCACACAAGCACCCTAGCCACTGGACCAGCTTTCCTCTTTATAGCTGTAATTTCATTCTCATCAACCTAAGGATCAAACCATTTATGAACTCCCTGAATCAGTCACTTTCAAGTTCATGTTGGGATTGACATCCACCCACAAAAAAATAAATTAATGTGGATTTTCCTTATTAATTTTCATTAACTATTCCACATGGGGAAGTAACTTTACAAACTAAAAATGCTCTGTAGGAGGTGGGAGATTAGTTTTGCATCCCTTGGGACAAGAATTTAATAAGACATTAAAAAAACCATTTTGCTAAGAGAATCTGATTGCATTACTACAGGTTGGTTGCTTAGATGTTTTGTCTTTCTCTCTACATCTGCTTAGCTATCGCTGGAGTCAGCAGTCTACATTTCTGAATTGTGTCACTGACACTTATTGATGTTTTGCCTTATGGCTTGACATTTTGCACACTTTTAATTATATGGTGTATAAACTAATGGAAGCTTGATATTATAGCAGATACTAGTCCATTACCTTGACTTGGAGCTAAGCCTAAACCTGATTGACAAAAATCTCTTTTGAACTATTCAAAAATGTAACTGAACTCTCCCAGTGGATTTTCCTCTTACCATAACATACTAGCCGAGCAAGAAAGAAACAATTTTGCTGATAAACTGCAAGAAAGGCTTAAAGCATTGACACGTTTCAGTATTCATTTTTAAACCCTAGAGAAAGGCCCAGGTGATTGGAAGAATTTAGCACCCAAAGAATAGAGCTACAAGGCTTGTGGTCCATCTGATCCAGCCTCCCATCTCCAACAGGCAGACACTTCAGAGGAAGGTACAAGAAACCCCATAGTAAGGAACTAAAAAATGATCAGGCCATAGGGAGGTTTTCTTCCTAGCCCCAATCAGTTAGCATGGAGATTTATACCCCTTATAAATCTGTATCCTCTCTGCTGTACCTCTGGTTTTCCATACACTTGTCTAGTCCAGTTTTGAATCCTGTTAAACTCTTGGATTAAATGATTTATTGTGGCAATGAGTTCCATAAGTTAGTTATGCATGGTATATTAAAAGGTTTCCTTGTATCTGTTTTAAATTTGCTGTCTTTTAATTTCATTGAGTAGCGCCTTGACCCAGGATGATGACAAAGGGTAAATTAGAATGTCTTATGTACCACCTCTACCCTGTTCATTATTTCATATAGCTCTGCTATGTCTCCCTTCAAACTGCATAGACTCTGGAGTATTTGGACATCTCATATAACTCCCAAACAATTGGCTACAGCCTCCAGGACTTCCTCAGAGGACAGACCATCTGGCAAGTGCTGTAACATCCCTCCTTTTTCAAACACCCTTCCACCACTAGAGCTTACCACTCCTAAGGGTTCCATCTTTGTTGATCTGGAATAACATATGGGAAGATACAGCTGAACTGGCTGTCCCAGACTGGTCCATCTTCACCAGCTGCAGTCGTGGTGTTGTGACTGGTGGGAAACGGTAAAACTGGAAGGTGAAATACATAGTCTTGGGCCACGTTGTCCCCAGGCCATCCTGTGGAATCCTTGACCAAAAAACATCTCTGGATTAACTCCTCTTGTTACAGACCCAGCAATTTGTATGTGCTTTGCAAGTGCTTGTGAACCATTTGAGAAGCAGAAGAACTGGGGAAAATCCATGATATTAAGTGTATTCAAATTGGTTTGGGAGGCTTCCTTTGAAGCCATCATGACAGGAAGGACAAGGGGTTTTTTTTTGCTTTCAATGAACTCGTAGTACATGTGACTTCTGCTCTTTGGTACAGAGTTCCCAGCTTCAAGACCAGGTGGGAATGGTATTTTACTTTCAGAATTACAGTGCACTGTAGTCAGTGGAAAATACACAAATGGTGCATAATCAAGATAAAACGACCATCACAGAAAAGCCTTTCCAAGTGAAGCTTTCCTGTCTGTAAATAAGGAGTTACTCAGTAATTAGTTTTACATTACAATCTGGCTAATGTGAACAAAAAAATTAATTTGGAACTGACTCAATGCATAAAACATCTAAAATGGAACGTTCATTGTCTCACAGGCACTTCTGGTGCTTTTGTTACCATGGCAGTTGCTCAGACATGCCTCAGCCAAGCAAGGTGAAAGTCCTAAGGAAGGGGCATGGGAGATGGATACAAGGACCTGTCAGAATCATCAAGCCAAAGAGCAGCACGCAGATCAGTATGGAAATGGATGCTATTGCAGGAAGAGATGTGAATCCAACCTGAAAATGGGGCAGTAGGATTTCAGGGCATTACCTGGTGAAGGCAAGGAACTGCAAAATGATCTCATTGCTTTGCAAGAAGTCAGCTTCTTCCCTTTGAGGGTTGAAGTTCACAGGGTCTGCAGGGTCCACAACTTCTGCTGGCTCCTTGTTACAGTCCAGGATTTCTGGAAAGCCAGCGGCATGCAAGCGAGACAGAGAGGCCCGAGTGAGGACAGAGCTAGAGCTGAAAGAGAAATGGCTTTGAGTTTCCTGGGACCCAGACACCATTGGAATCCTGACCCTTTCTGCCAGGTCCCTCCTGCCACCCCAGCATCTTCCGGACGGGGTTCTGTGTGAGGTAGAAGCATTTAGGGACATTTTCAGTGAGAGGCAGGATGACATGTGCGGGACCGTTGAACATCACTGAACTCCACCCCCATGTGCTTGCCTCGCTCAGGCAGCAATTCCCCTGTTCCCATTCCAGCTACCATTAGCCCTGCCTTAGAGCCTCACCTTCCAGTCTGTGTTCCCATGGCAACAATAGGCGCGTGCACGGGCGTGAATGGCAGCTCCTGCAGCTGGTCGCTTGCAGAGGAATCCAGGATCAAGGAGCTGGGGTTGAGGTCAGCCTCCAAGTGCGTTATGCCACCGCGGCTGCCTCCATGTGGGAGCTCCTGCTGACAAACAAGGGCACCCCATGAAATGGACCATCCCCAGCTGGGTGGTGATAGAGCGGTGAGGGGCAGGGCTCTGCAGGGCGCATTGAAGGAGCTGCCCAGCCCAGGCTGCTCCACTCAGACAACTTGTCTTCCTCGCAGGGCAGCGTGGGGGCAGCAGATGCAGTGCAGGCAGCCAGTTCCCCCTCTGTTCTCAGCAGAAGTGTTGTCATCACAGCCCTACTCAGCTGAGCAGAAGATGAGCATCACCTTTCCTATCTCATATATGTTCTACTGCACAGCTCACCGGGCAGGGCACAAGCAATGGGGGACGGGCAGAACCCAGGAGTCATTCCCACCACTGTACCCGAGGCAGCCTCTCCATAAAGGAAAGTGCCCCCGAGCAGGCAGAGTTCATGCGTTCTCACATACCTGGCTTGTCTACATTTTGAATTCAGATTTCCCACACACACACCCCACATTTATTTTGGGCTGCAATGACCATAGGAATGATTGAACCCGGCCCAGCATGTACTGTATAGCTCTGTGGGAAGGGACACACGCCAAACACACGCGGGTAGGAACATCCCTCTCTGCAAGGGCT